CATGAAAGAAAGATTTAGATGACTGGGATTATGACAGCCCACATAAACCAAACTCCCTGCCTTGATTTGAGGAGGGTATAGGAAAATATGATGAGGGGGAAAAATGACTTTCAGATGTGACCACAGCATTTCGAAGTTTTAACAGATTTTCCATTCATGGAAAACTAATTGGTCATGAATAAAACTGAGAACTGTAGTTCCTTGCGTTCCCTTGTTATAAACGGATCTTTTCCCCTCTTGAAAGAATTTGCCAGATGACATCATCTGGCAGCTTTTGCAAACTAAGGATGCCTATACCGTGCTGATGTGGTTCTAACACATTATAGCTAGAAGAGAATTTTTTTATTGCAATGTATTGCTTGTATTTCACTAAGACCTTTGCAATCTAGGGAGCATCAATCATCACAACAAAGTGTACGTTGCTATTCCCAGACTGGGTAACATCCCAAGTTTTACAAATGCCTGAATACCTCCATTCTAGGAAACTCAGAACTCTGATCCACTAAAAGCAGAATTCTGAAAATCAGAAATATGCAAATTTGGATCAACACACAGCATCGACTAGAACACAAATCTGTTTGACAAGTGCACACCATCAAGGCACATTAAGATTTTAAGTAATGCCGCATATTTTTATTTTGGCTGATTTTTTAAAGGCCATAATCCTATTATACATTTATACTAGCTAACTCCAGTGTGATGACTATTTTCCCAATAGGTACGCATTTTCCTAAAGAACCCTTTCTCTCATGCAGTTAGACATTGATCAGAGCGTATTTGTGTAGCCTTCTCCTACATGAATGCAGTTTTAGTCATTCACATTTTTAAATGCAGATTTTCTTGCTCTGCAAAAGATTCTCAAGAAACATACGGATTTTCAAAGCAGAATGCTTTCCATTAATCTGACAAGCAAGATCCACAATGGATATTTATATAGTATACAGACATGTTGATCAAACCTTTCCTTCCCAGCTCTAATGCATATGCACATGGTGAAATCCTGATTCTCTCTTACTTTCTCCTTTGTTATGACAGGCAAGAACATGGAAAAAAGTTACTCTTCTGGACTACAGCTCCCAAAACTCAGCAGGGAGATTTGGGAACTTTTGCAAGCTAGGAAAGAGATCACAAGATCTCCTTCCTTCAACGTTGTGACGGACAGGTCAGTAACCAATCCTGTCCATCACAATGGAACCCTGATTCAGGAGCCTATGGTTGTACAGAAGAGGTGGAACTAAGGAAATATAAGAAGAATGGAAGACAGTTAAAGATCAGTTAGAGTTAGAAGTTAGGGATATGAGTTAGAGTTAGGGACTTCAGTTAAGGATATCAATTTGGGAGAAACAGGCAGTTAGGACCAGTATTGTGTTAGAGAAGAATAGAGAGATACAGAACAAGATAAGAAATGAATAAATACCTTGATTAACATGATTATACATAAGCAAATATAAATGTTATCAAAGCACAGTTGATTGAATGAATAAAATATGACCACCCATGATTTACTTTATATGATTTACTTATAAACACTTAAATAAACATTGTTTTATTGAATAACACTGATTTAAGAGTCATATTTGATAGAGTGAGGATAAATCCTCTGGTGGCAGCGAAAAGGGTTGAAAAGTAAACGTCATACCCAAAAGTGAACCTGGGCTGTGTGGAAGAACAAACAGGGGAACTGTGTGTGTGTGTGTGACAAACATCAATTAACATTTTACTGAGGATGTCAAGGAGACAGCTGACCTTCTCATAGTTAGTATATCCTCCCATGACAGCTGGATCCACAATGCCATTCAGTAGCATAGAGAGGGGGTGCACCGGCAGGGAACGGTCCCAGGCATGCTGTTGGACACAGTTGCTGATTTTCTCATTGGTCAGCTCCATGGTTTCTATGGCATTCTCCAATGGGCTGATTTCCTCCTGGGAAGCACAAATACAGGAGATGCTAAAACTGTGTCTAAACCAGGGGTGGTCAAAGCAGAGCCTATGGGCTATGAGTCGCTGCTCGGTCGCCCTAACCCTTTATACCCTTTCCCAGAATTTATTTGTTTCACTGAAAAATCCCTGTTTCGCTCAGAGGGCTGCCTTGTGGCCTTTAGGTGACACGGGGGGCAATATCCCCGTGCACGAGGTCCCCAAACCACCCCTAAAGCCCAGCTATAAAACACAACTGTTTCTACATTTTCGTTTTTTAAAATTGTCAATAGAGAACACAGGAAAAGAGGAAGGCCCAATAAGAGATGTGTTGACACAATAATGTGTCAACACAATAAAAGAAGCTGCACTCTTGAGGGTGTCGGAATTGAGCAGGGCTGTTGAGAGCGGGACATTTTGGCCGTCACTCATTCATAGCGTTGCCATAAGTGTGAGGCAACTTGACAGCATGTCACAACAACAGGAAACAGGAGGAATTTTAAAAAATAAAAAACAAGGGTAGATTTAAATCTGAATCTAATTTTTTCAGGCTCATTTTCGCACACAAGGCTTCATTTCGCACATTGCTGTTATCTACGCTCACAACCTATTTAACACAAACTTTCTTTTAAAATGTGGTCAAGTGAGGACCTGGCCAAAGAGAGGTGGACATTCCTGTGAAATCACCACTCAAGTTGCAAATGTTACAATATTTGTCTCTAGGCATTTGGTATTTATTCTTGCCATTGTAACAAAAGGAAGAAAGCCTTAAAATATATTTCTTTTAAAAAAAAACGTAGGTTCCATCTCAACTTGAAAACTGTACTACCTCAGAAAGATATGCATGAACCAACCCTCAAAATCAAAGGTGTCAGGAGACCTGATTTCATCCTTAATAATCACAATCATGTGTCGTCAAATCAATTCTGACTTATGGCAACCCTCTCCAGGGTTTCCTAGGTATAGATTATTCAAAAGTGGTTGACGGTTCCTTTCATGATGCTTGCCCAAGGCTACACAAGCTGGCTTTTCTTGTGGGCATCTATGGGATGACAGGGGGCCTCCCAACCGCTCTGGGCATGCCTTATCTCACAGGTCTGTTGTGAGGATATAGGGGAGGAGAAATACACGTGCGCCTTTTGATCTTTTGAGATTGATTAGGCATCCTTCAGTCTCAAGAGACTATGGTAATGTGCTCTGTATGGAGGACTTGGAACAGCGTCTAGTGTGGCTGAGAAGGCCAACTCGAGAGAGACAATCCCTTCCACACTGAAGGCAAATACAGTCTGTCCCCTGTCCAGCTCCCTGATTTTGCTGCTTTCGTGACTGCCTCTTTGCCTCGGCCTGCTGGACAAGGGCCTCTTCAATTTGGGACAGGCCATGATGCACTGTCTGCCTCCAGGCTGAATGCTCAGATGAATTGTTACAGTTGCAAGAATAAATTTGAGAAAGGTTGGAATAAAACTGTAAAAAGCAGAAGAGCTAAATGTTGACAATCAGAAGGATAACCCCTTCCCACTGTTTATTTCCTTGCTAGGAGAAGCATCACCTTGCAAGTCTTCGTACGTGGGTAGTTTTGGTTGTCATTCAAAGTCCAGAAGTCAAGTTACTCAGGAAAAAATTGACAATCCTAGCATAAAATAATGCAGTAACTTATACGTAGAAGGGAAGTCAGCGAGAGTTGACTTTTCCTTGCTAATGGTTGTCTATCCAGATCACAGAAGTGACTTGAGCATGACAGAATTTGGCATTCGGGACAACTAGCTTTGAATCCGTGCCCCACTGTAATCCTAGACCAATATTGTTCAGCCTGACATCATCCAGATGTAATACCCTACAATTCTCATTACCCCAGTAAACAGAGCTACTGACTGGGGACAATAGACACTGTAATCTAACACTTTTGAAGGCTTCTAGATTAGAGGATGTTACCTTAGCCCGAATGCTAACCTGCCCCGTATTTTCCAGCTTTACAAGGCTGTCTGATATAAAAACAAAAACAAAAATGCAGAAATAGAGTAGCAACTGTTGTTGACGAGGATGAGGAGAAAATAAACTGTGCATTGCTACCCCCTTGTGTAAAAATTAGAACTTGGAGATGTTTCTCTCTCTCCCTTTTTTTTTTACTACAACTCGCAGAATGCCCTGATAGTCTGAAAAAGGAACATCTCCCAAGCTCAAAGAAAGGAAAATATAATTGACGAGAAATGGTAAGCATCTTTGCAAGGTTTACCACTGTAACTTGTTTCACTTCGAACCACTTGAGGATGCCTGGGAATGAATAGGCAGTTGTGTAGGTGGTTCTCTCGATCCACATGGTCTGGAAAAACAAACGAACAATCAATCAATCAATGAATCAATCAAGATAACTGCAGTCACTAAGGCCTCAGGAAAGTAGTCTGAAAACCCGGACTGAAACGGCACGCTTGGCTCAATTAATGTCCCCCGAAGAAGGCCACAGAATAAATGAGTCAAAATATGATGGCATTTTAAAAGTGAATAAAACACACTTTCCCACCAACATCTTGAGACCTGGGTCTCTCTTTCTGATTGGTTTCCAGCAGGTGTTCCCAATTCCTTGTGCATATGGACGGGATCAGCCAAGGCACATGGAACCCAAACTTTCCAAGCCTATTGATCATAAAATAACCGGTATTTCTGTTAAGGCACAATTCCTTTTTCAATAGATGAGGTCCTCACCGCAAATTCATTCTCAGGGTCTTTTTCTCCTTTCCTGAAGGGCCGGGAATACTGGAAACGCTGCACTTCATTGGATCTATAAAAGCTGCAAAAGCCGATTTAAAGAAGAAGAATAAATAATATCATAAATCGACCTCCATAAAGCAGGCCACACGGCCACACCAAAAGTTTGACATAAAACACAGAGGAATATCTGAATTATCAGAATCATGCTCAGACCTTATGGGAACCTTTAAATCGATGCATTGGCTTGCATACTTCTGTAGTCTATGAATCCCCCTCACCTGTTTTCCTCCTGTTCTCATTGTTACAATTCATATCAAAAACACTTTTGACTTGAATTCCTGCACTAAGTAGGAGGCTGGACTTAATGGCCCTATAGGTACTTTATTATTCTAGGATTCTGCGATTTTATTAGAAAGACTTCAAGACTACACCTAACCATTCCGTTTGCATCTAGGTACAGATATTACCTGTTCATATTCAACAACCCACTTTTTCCTCAAAACGCAGCCCTGGATGGCCAGATAAATAGAAAGGTCTGATCCTTTGACAGGTGTGAATGATATAGTTGGGGGTGAGTCTTAACAGCTTATTCTACAGGCTGGGCTCTGATCACTAGTTCCTAAACTTAAGATCCCAGATGTTCTTGGACTATACTTTCTGGAACCCATAGCCCGAAGAGCCAATTGTCACAGCATCTGGAAGTTGTCCAAGAACATCAGGGGGTCCCAAGTTTGGGAGCCCTTGGCCTGGACGTCCATGTCGACTAAGTCCTATTCAGGAAGTTGACAGAGTTTCTCACACTCTCAGTTTAACCCATTTTTACTAAAACCCTTAATAAAACCCATTTAAAAAAACATATAATAATATACCACAAAGTCAATTCTGACTGATGGTGACCTTTTCAGGGGTTTTCAGGTACAGAAAACTCAGAAGCAGTTTCCCATTGCTTTCTTCTGGCGGGCGCCCTGGGACTATGAATCTTGCCCAAGGCCACCCAGGCTGGTTCAACTCGCAAGAGGCATAGTGGGGAATTGAACTCCCAACCTCTGGCTGTGAAGCCAGATCCTGAAATCATGGAGCTACCCAGACAGCCCTGAACCATTTCAGAATGCCTGAAAAGGGCTCAAATGTTGCTGGTCATCCCTTACCACGGATCAACAGTCAAGGGCTGTTGACTGTGAAAGTTCAACACCTGAAAAACTACATGTTCCTCGCTTCTTCCCCATCTTTATGATCTGCACTGGAAATCGCTCTCATAAAGGAAAACGTCTGAAAGCATTCTGAAAGGTTAAGAACACCTGGCTTTACGAATGCACAGACACCTGTAGTCAGAGCTAGGGCAAAGCAAGCCAATGAGTCAACTGTGTTGGCTTGGTATTTAATGAAACTTAAGCAGTTAGTATGAAAGACAGGCTGGTTAGTGGACCTGGCTTTATTCTTATCTCCGATAGGAAAGAGTATGAGAGGAAGAAGCATGTACGTTCTCTCTCTCTCTCCCTCTCAGAAGCAACGGAAGAAAAACACAGCTTTTTTGCAATTCCAAAATCACACTTCTATACATCTTCAGATATTACCAGATCCCTATTAAATGGAAAACCATCTTCTAAAATGGGTACGAAGTTAAGCCTTAAGCTGGCAGTTTTGCACTCTGTTTCCAGATGTGAAAAAGGACGGATTGGTGGAGTTGGAAGCTATTTACTTTAGAATCTGCTCTGGAACAGGCTTGTCCTTGAAGTTTGGTGGAAGGTTCATGACAGGTTTCACGATGAAGCACTGCACATCTGCACAGAGTTCATTAAGGAGGTGAAATCAGTAGATGGTCAACAGAAATATCTCAGTCTCACAATGTACAGAAATACCGAAGGAAATCCTATGCGTCCTCCACTGGCAGAACATTCACTTGGGCATCAACGTTGGTTGAAGGTTTTAATTCCTCCCCAAAAATTGACCCAACATTCCACTGTGACTGTAGAGAAGGGCCAAGAGATCTGTCACCCACCAGATATTACTGGTGAAAATTCCCAACAGATCCAGCCAAGCTGAACAAAGGGAATTATAGTGGGAGTAGTAGCTTATAAATATCTCAAGGGCCACAAGCGCACCACTCCAGTGATAAACTAAGCCTGAAACCATAGCTCTTTGGCAGGACACCAGCCTCACAGAAGCACAAGCTTCAATTCTTCCATGAAAACACCCAGTTAGCTTGTGATGAAAAGGACTTCTCTTTGCCTGAGACCTTGGAGAGACCTTTTTTCCTCCAATAGCAGACAATACTGAGCAAGATGGAGAAACAACTTGACCAAAGACATCCACGTCAGATCTAAATGTGCAAAGCGCGTGTTATTAGTAAATTCTAACTGAAAAGCTAGAACTTACTGTGTCAATATTTTTAAAAATTCAGTCTGCAGGTACAGACTGGTTTCTTAATTTGGAGGTCTTTTTAGTTGAAGAGTGAGATTAAAATGTTCTAAATAAATATTAAATGCTCACATTTTGCATCCCCACAATTAATTATTCCAGTTGCTATTCCCCTTCTTGGGTCTGATTCCAGTTCGGTTTCCCCTTGTGGATCTATTGTTCTATTCTCATTTTTAAATTTCTGGTGTGATTATTTTTTTTATGTTAATCATGTGCCATCAAGTTAATTCTGATGAATCGTTATCCTTTAAAGGGTGTTCCTGGTACAGAATACTCAGAGGTGGTTTCCCGATCCCTTCCTCTAGAGGGCAACCTTGGGACTATGCAGCTTGCCCAAGGCCACCCAGGCTGGATCGACTTGCAGGAAGCAGAGTGGGAATCGAACTCCCAACCTTTGGCTCCACAGCCAGAGACCTAAACCACTGAGTTTACACAGGCATAAAGAAAACAAAAAAACTGCCAGAGCGATGAACCAAAAATAGGAGTTGAGTGCTTCTCTTCCACAAACTCCTTAAACTGTACAGGTAAAGACTCTCACACTCTACCACTGTCATGTCTCTTTTGGCCACCAACCACACTTTGTCTCATGAAGGATACACTGCTTGGAAGAAGCTTTGGTCTCTTCTGTTGGTGGAGCAGTGCTGCTTAGCTTCTCTGCATTTGGAAATAGGGTTAGTAATTTTAGGTTGAAGTCTTCCCTCCTCTCATACTCCTTGCCACGATAAATAAAGATCTTGTTCTGCAACCAAAACTGGGAATTAGAAATAAACACCAGTCTACTGACGGCACAATATTTTCAATGTGGAAGAACCGGAAATCAGGATACTGATGAAATTGAGAAGGAAGCCATATTGACACTCCATCGATATGGGTGCAAAGAAGCCCATTCAATTAGACATAATAAATAAGCGCAAGACACATCGGTATTGTAGATGATCCAGACTAATATCAGGAGTTAACGGTACCTTTGAAGCATGTAACCAATAATACCAGTTTTATGCAGATCAGACTTACACGGAGGAAGGAGGGAAACCCGTGGCCAAAATACCCGACTGCAAAATATTCTGGTTGAGGCCTCATTGCCTTCATGATGTTCTCATAAAATGTGGCTCGTGTTTTCTATGTTAAAAAGAAGAAGGGCAAGGGAAGAATAAACATACTGAGTAAACAGACTGGCAACATTGCACATATTTGCCTCCTAGAGTCAAGTGTTCTGTAGAATGTAGGGTTAAGAGTTGGCCAGTTCTGGTGTCATACTAGACCGCAGCTCCATGGTGGACATTTTTTGTTGTCTCAAAGGCTGCATTTATATATTTGTTTTGG